TTGAAATATTGTCAAGAGCATGTCTCCTCAACGCATCCAGGGAGTCTAATGAAACTTCATAGAAATGTTCACCACTATGTGAAGCAGTGTAACGTGCATGAACCAGGTCGCTAGGTAATTTTGAAAAAATGTCTGTTTGGAGCCAAATATCTCGATCATCGGGGAATTGAAATGTAACTTGGCACAAATGTTTACAATTGTGAGGCTTATTGCGCACATAATCCAGGTCCCTGCTACAAAAGTCAATGTCACATGTAGAAGGTCAAAGTTTGTGAACGGGGACCATTTTAGTCATCATTTATTGATGAATTGTAAAACAAGTGATAACTATCATGACTACATGTGAGACACATGTAATTCAGGTTAATATTTCAAGGTCAAGTTTAACTAGAGATGATAAAATATCCAGATATTTTCCGGATATTGCGCAGACCATATCTCCTATATGCATATCTAAAACTCACTAAAATCATATCCTAGCTGTCGCTCCTCTAACTAACCTTCGTTAGGAAGCGAAGAGTAAGGAGCGAAAATGATGATCTGATTTTAATGAGATTGATGCATATCTATAATGCCCGCATCTCTTCAAAAGCTTTTGTGACGGGCGTTTTTTTTGCGACAATGTTTGCTCTTGTCCTCTATGTTATTTCCGAAGATAACCATAATAATATTTCAATTTATTTCTACTTCATTATTCATTATTCCGAGTCCACAGTTTAAACAGATACAAGTTGTAAAATTTTGAACAGAAAATAATAATAATTATGCTCCCTCCTTCGAAGAAGAGGGGGTATATTGTTTTGCTAAATGTCGGTCGGTCTGTAGACCACATAGCGGATTATCCTAACAACCATTTATCACAAAGCCTTTCATATTTCACATAGTGATTGGTCCATAACTTGTAGATGACCCCTCTTGATTTTGGGGTTACTAGGTCAAAGGTCAAGGTCACACGGGCCTTAAATGTTAGAATGGTTCCGCCGATTATTTTGAAAACTGTTCATTACAAAGTCTTCATATTTCACATAATGATTGGTCATGACTAAACTAGTAAGGCCTATTGAGTTTTTTTGTGACTAGGTCAAAGGTCAAGGTCACCGGGGCCCTAAATGTCTGTGGTTTCCTCTGATTATCTTGAAACCTGTTCATTACAAAGTCTTTATGTTTCACATAGTAAATTTGTCATAATTAGTAAATGAGCCCTAATGATTTTGGGATCACTAGGTCAAAGGTCAAGGTAGTCACGGGAGCCTTGAATTTAAGAATGGTTTTCCGCTCATTATCTTTGGTTACTATTTATCACAAAAACTTCATAATTCACATATTGATTGGCCATTACGAGTAGAAGAATCCTATTTGATTTTTTTTGGTAACCAGATCAAAAAATGAAGGTCAGTATGACTTCTGCTCATTATCTTGGTTACTATTTATCACAAAGTTTTCATATTTCTCATATTGATTGGTCATAACTATTAGATGACCCCTATTGATTTTGGGGTAACTATGTCAAAGGTCAAGGCCAGAGGTGCCTTAAATGTCAGAATGGTTTCTGCTCATTATCTTGAAAAAAATATCACAAAGTCTTCATTATTTTTCTTTTCTCAATACTTGAACACTTGAACAACCATTTTTTAACAAAATAACCAATAATGTGAGTCAATGACTAGAACGGGGTTTATGTGTCGTTCGACATTTCTTGTTATTAAATTGAAATTATTATTAATTTTTTGGTTTTAATTTTGGGGGAAAAAAGAGATCTTACTTAAATATTAATTCATATGTTAAAGAATGTCAAGTAGGTGGAAAAAAAAAAAAAAGATATTTCCTCAAAAACGTTCAAAATGGCAAAATTTTAATGTAACATACTCGGTTACCGTCCACACTTTCCAGCACTAACCTACGAAGAATTCAACATTTTATAAGAAATAGTAAAATTTTAAATTACAAAACACGTAATTGTAAGGTGTTGTAAAATGTTGCACAAATAAAAGAAATGAAAATAAGACAAAACTCAGTTGAAAAACAAATATTTATTATTCAAAAAGGTTAGCAGGGATAAGTAATAAATATATAAAAAGCACATATTTAAAATATTTATCATATTCAACCACATGTATTTTATAGACATTACTTTTACTAAAAAAGGTTTGTAAGATTATTGTTTTTTAATTTAGACACAAGTTATGTATCAATTATAATTAAGCACCGATTGAAGATCCTGTAACTCAATTTTTTTAATGGTGTTATAGCTAAACTGAAGATTTATCAATATTGTAAGTTCATGAAAAGATATTACAGAATTTATATTTCATGTAATTAAAGGGAGGTTATTAGAAATCAATCTATTTTCGATAAAGTCTAAACCAAACTTTTCAATATGAAATGAATGCATAGATTTTAATGACAACTGATAATGCAAATAAACATTTGCAGTACATATTAACCTATTCTTCGATGTTTGAAAATTGTTTTTAAATTAAAAGAATAATTATAAACATATATAACATTCCACATAAATGTTGTTACATCTTTAATTACAAAAATACAGTATATTGAAAGAGCATAACGCTACATCAAGCATTTTCAAAGGAAAAGTAAAAAGAAAAATGTGTTGTTTTGATAATGATCGATTGTACCATTTAATGTCTCTGTTATATGACATACATTTTGTTCGCTAAAAGAATGGAATATTGCCTACAAAATACAAATGTACATTTTTGTATATTTTTTTTGTATTTTGGAAGTATTCTCTTCCCAAATTAGAATTATCATTATTGAATCAAATATAGCTCCATACTTATTTTTACTATCTATTACAATAAAACACACAGGTGAGAAATACATATTACAATATAAACAGAAGGGCCAAGATGGCCCTTTGATTGCTCACCTGACCCCATCAAACTCATCCGAGCAATTACTGTGACAAGCATTTTGACAAAGTTTGGTAACAATTGAGTCAAAGATGTGACCACTAGAGCGTTAACAAGGTTTTTCCATATTTGGGTAGAATGACCTAGTTTTTGATCCCAGGTGACCCATATCCGAAACTGACCAATAAATCATTTGCAGACCGTTAAACAGGATATTTGGATCAAAACAGTAGCCAAGATTTGTTATTTTAGCTCCTGTAAATCAGAGATGACATATGTTGAATTTTATCCAAGCAATTAGCTAGACAAGCATCCTGACCAAATATGATGACAATTGAGTCAAAAATGACACCCCTAGAGTGTTAACAAGGTTTTGCCATATTTGGGCAGTGTGATCTAGTATGTAACCCCAGGTGACCCATATTCGAACCTGATCTAGAGATTATCAAAACAAACTTTCAAACCAATTTCCAAGATATTTTGATTGAAACAGTGGTCACTAGAGTGTTAACAAGATTTTACTATTTTTAGCTTATGTGAGGTAACCCATGTTCTAACTCACCCGAGCAATTACCTAGACAAGCATCCTGACAAAGTTTGATGATGATTGAGGAAAAAATGCGACCACTAGAGTGTTAACGAACAAATGTGGACAAACGTTGGACGACAGACGACGGACATTGAATGATCCTATAAGCTCACCCAGAGCTAGCTCAGGTCAGCAATATTCGTTATAATTTAACGTTTAAGGTTAGCAATACACAATATAATCAAAATTACGATCTACTGAAATCAAGTCTTGTATATTTCGAAAAGTCCTTGCTAAATTGGTACACTCAACGAAGAAACTTCTTAATTATTGACGTTTCCCCTGCAAGAAAAAAAAACATTTACGGTAATACTCTGATCTTTGATTGATGTTTGAGAATATTTTGAAGCAATCACGAATTAAAGTCTTTAGTCTTTTAGGAACAAAGTCTTAGATGTATACATTAAAATGCGATGATGTTCGTTTAATGCATACATGTTTTAAGAAATTAAATATGCTGTGATTTTCATGGATACTAGGATTTATTGACGATTTGTCATTGGTATGTTTTACGACAATAAGACAAACTGGTGTTAAAACCCTACGTTATTACAGGCTGGTGCCATTTATAGCATCTATAAAGTATAAGATAATATATGATATCATATTATACAGACTTTCACTACATTTTGAGGACCAAATATGCTATAGATATGATAGACATTTCATATGCTGTGTTACACTGACCTCAAAACTATAGAGATAAAAATATCACAAGAACAATAAATATAATATGAAGCATTCTGTACAAACAAAAATAAATCCTGTATAAATTAAATATGATATGAAACTGATTATTACTTTCGTTCACATATCGGTCGAAATAAGTTTGTGCAGGGTTCATCGACCCAGCGGGTGTCGAAACTTTGCCAAATTCCCGCACAGTTAGAAACTCTACCATTATTCGGTTGGTTTTGCCCCCAATCAAACCATGTGACTGCCTTCAAAGACGGGAAGTGCCTCCAGTCATCTTCAATATCATAATCGGTCATGCCAATCCAGTGTTTTGGCGCTGAGTAGAATATAAATAAATCATAGTTAATTTAATGCATAGTTAATTCTATACTTTGATCATAAAAAGAGGTAAATGAAATTACACAACCAGAAAGAAAAGTTACCATTTACAATTCTGAGAACTAATGAAGTTGAGTCGGTGCGTTACTTACGCATAATAACCTATACACATTGATCAGGGTCACATTCCTTTACAATTATAAATTGTATACAATCTTGAATCTGCATTCTCATTTTAAACTTTGAACGATAGATTCATTAAGTTCGATAAATCTTTAAACTTGAAAGAAAAGACATATTGCTATAAAAATAAATTGAAAGAAATGAGAATAATTGTACCTAACCAATCGTAAGATTTAATTACATTACATGACCGTACAAATATATGCCAAAATTTATCTGAATATATACTAGCGCGTACAAAGTGTTTATAATTAAAGCAAATGATACAGAATGAAACAATTTCTCATACTAAATCAAAACGATGCAACATTCTCATATTTAAACCAAACGACCAAAAATGGAAGATCTGAGAAGGTTCCATTTAAGAAACTGAACATACACGAGAAGACACTCTTCATAATTTGTTCAGTACAATTTTCCGATTAATAGAAACAGGAGTACACAAAATAAGAACAAAAATCAGAATTCACTAAATTTGTGGAAATTATCAATTTGTGTTGTTATAAAAGTAAGATTAACATACATAACAAATTAAATGAGACAATTTGTACATATTTGGTATGTCTTTTGATAATATTACACACAAAGAAGAAACAGATTGTGAATCTTGTTTATGCACTTATTGGGTCGCTGCGCTTGCGCAGAGCGACCCAAAGTTATAAGCTACATCTGAAGCTTACTGCGAACCGAATTTCGGCTGAAATATACATGCACGTAGTAAATAGTTCCGTATGGTCGGTAACAAGTTAGAAAATCCGTACCTTCATTCATTACAGGAGGGTTATCATACATTTTGAAATGTATTATGATGTCGAAAATTACAGTAAATTTGTGCTGTGTACAGAAAAAATATCAATGCGCGATTGAATCACGTGACAGGTCATTGAGGTCAGCCATGTTGATTCGACTTTCGTCAGTACGTTAATTGATACAGACATCCAGGATATTTTGAAGAAATTGTAAGTTCTTTAGTAATTTTGTCAGTTTCCTCGATTAAAGAGGAAAGACTTTATGAAACTGAGCCACCCGTGTGATCAATTTTTGAAGATTTGTTTGTAACAGGGTAACGATTCGTCACCGTGACGATTCGTCTCAATTTTATAGTGACGATTCGCCCCACCTAAAATTAACATTTTTAAAATTCATTTGGACTGAAAAATATTTATGTTTTAGCTTTTTTGCATTTGTTTGGTATTCCTTTCTATTTAATAGATAACAGATAAAGGTTTAACAGAACTAACTGTATAGTAATAAATTTATAAATTAATCTGGATTCTTAATCTTATTTGTATATTATAATATTTAATAATTAATAATAAATAAACTAGATAATAGATTGATGTTATAGATAAGTATCATACAGTAATATTGTTTTTATTTACTCAATCATAGATATTCGTTTCTACAAGCAGATTGTCATACATTGTATTTTCTATTGTTCTATTAATCTGATAAAATAAAAGAAATTTAGACAATGCAAAGAGAAAAAGTGAAAGGTGTAATATAATCTGGATTTAAGGGGTGCAGGGGAGTACTATGGAGCTGTAGGGGCAGGAAATCTGTGTTGAAGTGGTTATGGTTGTTGATTCTAAACCACTGGCCCCTGCTGTTGGTTAGAAAAATAAATTGAGTTCGAATGGTTTGACCTATTTTACAAACTTTTATTTTTCATACTGTCACCCATCCAATATTATCTCAGTGTCTCTCCGACAAATTAAATTAGTTACACTAATAATTCTATGAATACTATTGACCATGGTATTTGTAGCATGGCATTATATAATGGCAGATTGGTGTACCAAAAATTATTGTTTATGTTTACAATGCATATCAAAGAGGAAAAATAGAATCCCTTAAGAACACCCAAAATGACACAATTGAAAATGTTGCAGGCTCGGTTTGTTTGAGGATAAACAGTACTGGAAAATGCAAGTTACTGTCCTCGCCCCCTAGCACATACTGGCTTAAAGGCCAATATTGGCCATAATATGCCCCAGAAATGATTTTAATTTATTTTTCAAAAGCCTGTTATTTTTGGTGGCCAGTGGTATAACTTCTAAAAATATACTAAATGGGCAATTATCTGAACCAACTTTTGACTCAGCTGTTGCTTTTTAGCAATCAGTATAGTTAAAGTGATTTAGTATTTTGTATGGAAGTCAAAAAACTACTTTGTTTACATGCAAACAGTAAGGCCTTACATGTTGTAAGTCTGTCCTAGAGGAGGTGTCTGATTATTCTTTAAGGCTTTGGTTCTCACACTGACACTGAGTTCAAATACTTTGCCAAATTCAGTTTTTATAGTCTAATTATTGAAACAATCTAAACCAAAGTTTTGAAAAACAAAGAAAAAAATTAATACACAGAATCTTGATGAACAGTATCCTGTTTGTTCAGTTCCCCCATTCTTTTTTTCATTAAGGGAACGCACATTGTATTCTTTGGGAATCATACGCCACTTTTCATGGAATGGCACTAACATGTCACATTGGAGGTTCCATGATCACTGCCATAAAAATACACCTGCTAATGTTTCTAATTTCAAAATTTTACCATTACATGTTTAAATGTTGAATACTGCTTAACCTGGTGCTATTGGGTGTGAACAGCAGCATGCACTTTCCAGTTCTATCCATGAACTGGCTCAATCAAACTGAGTCTGCAGCATTTTCAATATTGCTATTTGGACTTTCCTTTTAGAATTACTGTTTCTCTTTATGTACATAATTACCTAGTATTAAGCTTTAAATGAACAAATAAAGAGACCACTAAGGACAAACACATATGCAACAGCTGGATTTTATTTATTTTGCTCAAGCATTGTCACTCAGTAATATTTGCCTGTATTTAAAGAAAGATTCTACAACTAGATTTTTTTAGAAGGTAATTCCTGATCCAGAAGTGTTCTCCCACAAACAAGTGCGTGGTTCCCCATTCTGCTCTATGCTAGTGCATACAAAAACGGACGATAGTACTTAGACTATGTATCATATAAAACTTTATTTACATGATGATTAGGGGATTTTCTAATAATATGAAAAAATTGTTGATATAAGAAAAATATATAATTAAATTGATAACATGGGATTTGACTGATTAATTTCACAAATAATCATTGTATTTTATAAACATGAATGATATTATCTGAATGGTAAATATGGTCAACATTTTACTTGCTTTTGATTTGTTCCAATAGTTTGATGCATTGGCCTGTTTTGAGTTGGTATATATACATGTACATGATGTAGCTGATTTGACTATTAAGCCAAATGATTAATTTAGATAACTATAAGTTGGGAATGCTTTATTGTTGATATGAAAATCATATAAATGTTAAATAAGAAATGCATTTATTTCAGGTGTGTGATATAACAAACTGTTGTGTGAGGTTTTTAATTTGACATGGTCAAGACATACTATGATAGTATTGTTCAGTGTAAGTTCTCTTTAAATGTTTGTTTATAATAAAAACCCACATTTATTTTATTGAGCTCTGGAAAATTTTGAAACACATATTTGATTTAGTAGTCAAAATTAAAAACAACATTACCCTCATGGAAGTATTTCCCGTACAAAAGCAGTATACCAGCTTTTTTTGCAATAAATGCTGTTGTTTTTCCTTGTGTCCAGAATGATATGCACATACTGTTAAGTCAAATATATTTAGAAATACATTGAAAATTGTATATTTGTGCTATTCTTATTCTATTCTTCCCGATACATGTATGAATCAAAAGCTTGGCAACACTGTTCATTTTATGGACATTTTACACTGTTCAAGTAATCATTCTGGGAAAACAGAGCGAGTGCATGATCTGAAATTTTTGCAAATAGGTTTTTTGCTGAGATCTACATCAAATAGAATATCATATAATTATTCTTGAAAATTATTTCCAATCCGGTCATGTCAAAAGCCTCAGTGGAGTCCCTTTAAGTAATTCATATAAGACATTGACCTTGAGATGACTGACCATCAAGGTCAAATACTGAATTTAACTTATTGTCATATCATTAAATTTATTTGTTTTGTGTTCGCATATATATTTATAAGAAGAATTCCTTGAAAAATATTTACCTCATTTTGACTGTAAAAGTACATAAATTATAACAACCTTAGAATTCAGCCATCAGAGGCCATTAATGCTAAAGGTATAAGAGTATGAGTCTGAAGTTTACAATATTTATGATTTCTCTTTGGTTACAGAGAGAAACAGTTTTCTTTTTTGTATTTTATTATATTGAAAAATGTATATTTGCTGTCAAGTTGTGTGTAACTAAATATGTAACTAGTACATTTTACATTATTTTCTGTTCTTAGTAATTAATCTATAGAATAAGAGTATAGGTAAAAGAATCTCTGGTAAACAATATTGAAAATCTTAAAAGCACATATAATGTGTCAGAGATTTTGTAATTTTGTAATTCTTTAGAAAGATCAAACATGTGTTCAATAATGTTTTAATGATGTATTTACTATTTAGAGCATTGTAAATGTTTAACAACTGAAAAGAGTAACACTGAACAAACAGTAATTAATGTGTTGTAAAGGTAGCAAAATGTGAGCAGTATTATTTTGACTTCCATACAAAATACTAAATTAATGTAATTATACCAAGTGCCAGATAATTTCTCTACATGTACATGGTCAATGAGTACATGTAACTATTTGAGAAGTGCAACAAGATATGTAAAAGGAAAGTTTCAAAAATAATTTTTTTATCTTTTCTAAGGCTTAATGGACCTTTAAAGTTATTATTTAATATATATTTAACACAGATATCATATGTGCAGAAAAATTGTGGTTAAATGATATAACTTGCTTGTTTAATACTGATTACTTGTGCATGATCTTTAATATAAGACATTAAATTTTGTTTTGCTTTTTTTTAGATTACTTCTGTCATGTTACTGTTTGATAACAGTTAAGGTACAGTAGGTTCAGACAAGTTATATACATGTATACAGGACAAGACAGCTCAAACTGGCAGTTTGTTATAGCAAAAAGTGATGAAGTTTCAGCCTAGAAGTCTTCATGATGATGATGGTGATGATCCTAGTTATAGATTCTTTGCAATTATCTGTAAGGAAGGGGTTTCTGCTGCAGAGAAGAAAAAAATTCATGCAGGTTAGTCATTTTTTCAATAATTAATTAAGGTCTGTTGTTGATTGCATGTCAATAAAGGTCTTTCCTAATATCATAAGGTTCTAAGGTATGTCATCTTGTGGTAATAACTGATCCCTTAGTAATTAATTACAGTAATCAAACTTTTTAAACATGTTTACTGTAATCACTTGTTGCATGGTGCATATGCCTGAAGTCCAGGATTTTGTGACAAATATCATCATGTTTTACTATTAGATTATGTGGAAAAATGATAAATGAATGAATTACAGTTTTAGGGTTTTTCCAAATTTTCAACTTGCACCAATGTTGTTGTACATAGGGTTTTACTTTCTAATGTTTGACTGATATCATTGCAGACCTTTACTAATTCAAAATCATGACAAAGAATTTAAAATTAGAAGTCTCCTTTCCAGAATTACATTAATTCATTGTAGGACTAGTAATCATACAAAAAATATATATTATTGTAAACATGTTATACTAGAAAATTAAAAATTGAAATGTATGCTCATAGTGAAATGATCCATTCTAAAGTTAAATTTTCAATTATTTTTCTGAAGAACAATAACAGATTATGCCCTGCTTCTAGTTTCTTGTATTTGAACAACTTATGCTGTTTAATTGTTTTACTAAACCTTGCTCCCACTTTGCAGTAAGAAGTTGCCCACTCTGTTCAAATGAAGCTGTCTGAAGTACCCAGTAGACAATGTATTATTTCTGGAACAACTTAATTGAAGTGAAGCTTACTATGTGAAGGAGTTATTTCTGTATTCAAAAGGAAACTTCAGCATACAGAATACCAATTGAGGTATAGTAGTCCACTTTAAATTTTTACTTTTATCCATCTAAAGAAAGCATGAGATACAAAAATAGGCGATAATAATTATTTTCCTGACATCAGAATACACTATGGTTCTGCTTGCAGTTAGAAGTGATGTTCTATTCTTGTAAAGCAGCATTAATTGAAACCAATATTTGTCCTGTCATTTAATTGAAACTAATTGACAATATTCTTGTTTGTTTTTCAGCAGCATTTGTAAAGTTAATTTAGTTTGAATATCACACCATCCATTGCTTTTGATTTTCTTGTGACCAGAAACTAGCATTTTACATAGTGGTGTAAGCTAACTATGATAATTCATGCAAAGATATGATAAAAAAAATTTATAGAAGAAATATGTCTTCGATTTACTGGTAAATTGTTAAGTATGGAGCACATTGTCTTTATGATGTGGAATATATTCAGTGCCAGATAAACAATTACTTGCAACGTGACAAATATATTTTATTTTCAGATATTTGTAGCTTCAGTTATGGGAGAACATAAGATTAATTGAACTGGAATCCCTTCAGACGTTGACATAGCTAAATTCCACAGTTTCAACTATAAATGGACATTGAATAATTATACATTGGTTTTATTTTATACATGTATCTGTTAATATTTTTGTTTTCAAATATTTCCCAATATTGTTAATTTTGGATAATATAATGCCACAGAAAACTTGTCGGTCTTGGAGTATGGCTGTTTAACAAAAACACTGCAGATTGTTCATCAGAACAATGAAATTACAGTTTTGCTCATTAATGAACTAATTTACATAAATATATAATTTTTGTAAGCATGAAGAAATTTGGAACATATCATATAATGGATATTTGTTTCTTTTGCATGCAAGATCCAAATATATTTCATAGAGTGAACAGCAGATTAAATATTTTCATGAATGGCATTGAAAAACATATATTATGTATTAGTATAACTTTGCCACAATGTTGGTAAATGGAGGCTGCTATTTTACTGTGACTGAAAGTAGTTCAGATATGACGCCTTATGATGTCCGAGGTTTATAGCCCATCATACAAGCCAAAGAGAGCAGATTTTTTTTCTGTGTAGATTCATTAATTTTCAATGTTCATAATTGAAAGTGATTCTGTCATATTTCCTGAATTTGTTTAATTTCCTTCCTGATTTGCAAATATTAATTATCTACTCTTTATTTATCACATTTTTCTGAGAAATAAATGTATTTCCCACAAAATTTCTGTTTGTTTATAGGCTTTTCATCCTCATTCAAATAAAGTCTGGCTACTTTTGAAATTATACTTTATTGTGAAATAATCTAAAAGTAATGTCATTTTTTTTCTGAAAAGCATGTTATAAGTTATGGTGTTCAATTGATTTCTGAAGGACAACTTATGAAGGAAATGAAGTGTGTTGATACTTGCCATGTTAGTATCAAAAGACAGATTTAGTTCAATTTTGGTCACAATAAATTATTTTTGATGCAGTTATGCCCCTTTTTAGCTCGACTTTTTCTTTTTAAAAAATAGAGGTATCGTAACAGTCATGTTGGCATTGCCGAGGTTATCCACAAACTTGTATTTTGATCATTACTTTTTAGCTCACCTGAGCACAATGCTCATGGTGAACTATTGTGATCCTCCACCATCAGTTGTCGTGGGTCGTCAAAAATTTCTTTAAACAAATCTCCTCAGAAACCAAAGACTGCACAGTAACCAAACTTTGCAGGAATGACCCTACAGTAAGTGCCGTTTGGTACTTTTGTCCAGTGCATCACTTGAAAACTAGTAGTTGGAATTCAATACAACTTCATACAATGGTCAAGCGAATGAGAGAAAGTGCAGTGTACAATAACCATTACTCCATCTGCAGTATTTATAGAGTTATTCAATAAAACTTCATCAATGGTCAACCACATTGAAAGGAAATGCAACATACAAGAACCACAACTTACTATCTTTAAATGCCCACAAACATAACTCTATTTCAATTCTTTTACAAGGTATTCTGTTACATCCTAATGTCCAAAGCAGTTTTGTGGGGGTATTAATCACATTTAGTGTAGTTCTAGTTTTAACTGACCATACTTGACTTATTGTTTGTGAGAATTTCATGAATCTCTCTGGATGAAATTGTGACATTGATAAGTCATGTATTCACAATCACTGAAAGTTTATCCCTGATGGAACACTTATTACTAGTATACATATAAACAGAAAGATTTTTCAACCATTTTCTTTTCGAGTTGTTTGAACTTGATAACTTGAATATCAGATTGATAATAACTATAATCCCCAAGAATGAGCATGTTTTTCATATGCCTTATAAGTAGATGAAATTATCAATGCTTAGTCATTGTTAATAGAGGACTTGGTTATCTACTACCAGCTTCTGCTTCTGTCAGTAGTGTACTCTTAAAATTTATTCAACTTTCAAATTATTATTTTAGGATATAAAGCAGTTTGGTTTTTCGATCTCAACTGAACCACTTGAGAAAAAATACTGGTTTTTAGTACTTTTGATAAACCGTGTTGTAATTGTTCGATATCAATGATAAATCATCCTGAATTAAATCAAATGGCAAATATTGCTCTTTCCTTTGTACTCAATCATTTCCACTTGAATATGACATGAACATTTTCAAAAAATTTGCAAAAGGACATGATTTGGCCTTTCAAGTGATCACCAGCAATATAATGTCATATAAATTTGTCAGCGCAAGCGACCCTCCAGTGCTTTCAGTGCTTTGATTATAGTTTGTTAAGCATGTGTTAAGACAAAGACTATTTTTAGTGTATTTACCACATTTATTTACGACATTTAGATAGGTTATAGGCCACTTTTGAGTGTTGCATATTCAACAATGTTCTAGACAATAATTAATTTCACATTTACCTTCATGTTGCAACAGAATGCCTCTAAGAAATTCATTTTCGGCAACACTTTCTATGTTCACGAGATTGGCATCGAACTGACTGCAAAAACACTGTGAAAAAAACAGAACTTAGAATGATACTATTTTATATACGTATATGGGGAAAACATACGGCTAATAAAGGAGATTCTAATAAACGATGTTTACTTTGTTATCATAATATCATTTTAATGTTCATGTTGAGAAGAAAAAAAGCATGACTAGCAATAGTGCAGCTTGAAGCGACTTCTATGTCCTGTTTCTAACCCAATCAAAATAGTTTTACATAATAACTTATTCTTTTTTCTCGTGATGGTCCTTGTCAGTCCGGTAAGCTCAATAGAAAAAAATAGAGAAAATAAGAATCGCTAAGGAAAGCCCAAAACGACAAAATTGAAAATAAAGATTATTGGATTCGTAATCCAAGTTTCGCTGGCGAAGCTTAATTAATCTCGGACGGTTATTCAAGAAAGAGACCGTCACCGAGATATGACCTGACATGGTTAAAACTAGAAATAGACAATACAATACGTTATTTTTTAAATATATACTTACGTCATAGATTGTGATACATATATTAAAGTTTTGTTCAAATACACATGTCCTTGACCAAATAACAGTGTCAATTTGATTCTACCTAAATTACTTTATGATGATATAATTTTTTTAAACAGTAAAAGAATTTATTGATATTTTATACTATTACCAAAGCTGTTTAGATGGTGTTGTATTTTTACAAATATTAAATTGTTTATACCTGAGCTTCGTAGAATTTAAGATTATTACTCCCAAATAAGTAACATGAATTCTCGAAGTACTTCCATCCATCCGGACACATTGTAGTGTCTGAAATATAACATACATGAATATATGCTTTGAAATATAATGAACAAATTAATTGTAGTCTAAAAAATGACATGATAGGAACCAAACTTTTGTGCAATGAAATGATTAATTTACAATTTAGATCCCTAAACTGAGATTTTGATAATAAACCTTAATTTAGTAATAAATGTATAATTTATAAACATGAACGTTAAATTTGTTAATTGCATGTATCACATATCTGTAAAAATGGTATTGCACGGCCGTGCATAACGTTCTTTCCGGTATACAAATATAAGGTACATGTATTGGAGGCGCGTCAATAAAACAAAAGATTATTTTTCACTGTCAACACAGTTGCGATAACATTGTCTCTTTGACAATAGTTTAATACTTTATGACACTCACATTTCAAATATTTCAAATTAAGGAGGTATCAACAAACTGTTGATTTTAAAATTTCTGTAACAAAAGCAAATCGATAAAAACTGAAATTAATATCTTATCATTACACTCCGATAAGCTAGAAGTGTGTTTAAATAATTTTGAAATTGTGAACTACACGTATTTTCAGATGCTCAAAGGAAAAACTTTACCCTTCATCGTGAAGAGACATGATATTTTCTACTTAAATGTATCAACCAATTAGAATAAATACAAACTATAAGAAAAGAATTGTTTGAAACCATTTTTAAATGTCACGATTGATGAAGGCAGTTCTAAGAATTAATGATTTGTACCTCGTTATTTTTGTCAAGATTGAATTTTCCTATCATTTTTTGACAAATCACATCAAGCATATTTTTTCATTTTTCTGCCTTTCCCTGCTGCGAAAATTGCGATTGCTGTAATATTTGTTCAATGATCTTTGAAACATGAAAATTACAAGAAATAAAGAAAAATGTTTAATGGACAGAAATTTAAATACAGCAAGCTGATATATTAACAAAGTTTCTGTGAACTCTATTAAACTTTATTTGTTATGGTGATAAAAAGATAAGCTTGAACGGTTCTTTGCTCTCCCTGTAAAAGATTTGTGAAGAGTGTTGAAAGAGAAAATAATTAATTTGAACCGTGGACCTAGAACTAATTAATAATATTTATAATATGCTCCGCTATATATCTATGTTTAAAAAAAGTCAATTATAAGAATGACCAGAGTATTTCGTGAAAGATATAATCACACGTGCTTATAAAAAATTTACATCACCTAAATCCCTTAATGTCAAAAAGAGAAAAGAAAGTCCAAAACGGCAAATTCAAAAATGTTGCAGGCACGGTTTAATGGACCGTCAAGTGCAAACTACTGTATTTACGGAATGCTAGCCGCCATAGTCCACGGTCCTTAGCCTTGGATTGAACAGAAATTTACATTTAAAGTAAGAGTTCCCAAATGCATAACCTCCGCATTGAAGAGTATTCAAATAGGCTAGAATTACTGCCAACTGCTTTGAAACTGAGCGGAGTGGGTTCAAACCACAGGCGCATCATTATTTTTTCTTTCTTTCTTTTTCTTTTAACATTATTTATGTATTTCTTATATTCTTTTTGTAGAAAAGTGTTTTATTTAAATTATATAATTGATATGGGTATTTATATGCTTAATCGAATAAAAATATGGTATTTGATATCTTCAAAGACTAATTAAATCAAAACTACTTGGTTCTTGAATGTTATTATTTGTTTCATAGCAAGAATAAATTGTAAAATATTTTTTCATGAGGATGATAGATCGTTTAGGCTTTCTTTATTTCTGGAAAAGCGCCCTTCCAATGACAAAGTTTTAACTCTGTTCTGAACGATATTCATTTATTTTGTTTGCTACGTTTTTAGAAACAGCTTTAATAAATGCTCACTAATAAAAGAGAAAATCTATAGGTTTTCAAAAAAGAAAAAAAAAAGAAAAAGTATGCATCTTAATAATATTATTTGTCTAGAATGTGTAAGTATGAAAAATCTCAGAAACTCAAAATACAGTAACAGTTATAAGTCGGAATTTAGATTACCACTGTCCGTTTAAGCATACTAATAGACCTTTAGAAATAAATTTTAACAGTAATTACAATACTAAAATATCCATTAGATCAGACATCGTATATACAAAAAATATTTGTACCGTTTTCTGGTCATACGCTTTGATAAGTTTTCAGTGCTTGTGTGCTTTTTAAATTCTTTAATTTAAGATTTAACTGGAACCATTTGCCGTTGGCAACTTAAATGTGTTTGCTTTTTTATGGGAATGACTGCACCTGATAAATGTCTAATATATTGTCATCAGTTGTGGGTTTTTTTTAATCACATTTACAGCTTTAGTTTTACCCTCATGTTAAATAAGTTGCTGTAATAAGTTCATATTGGTCGTCAAAAATTAAATCATTTCCCGACAGCAACAGCTATGACATGTTATACCCATATTTCCGTAAATCTTTGTCTATTTTTCATCAAAAATGCACCCACAATGTTTAGTTTTTACCTGGGTATTTTATCCTTGTCATTGTTGTCCACCCCTCTGCAAATACTATTCCCGTCAAAAAACTAGGTCCACTTCCGCTGTCACAAATTGTATCATACGACGACAACAAACACTTTTCTGTCGGTGATTTAAATGATGCCGAAATACAATCTTGCTGCGAGGAACAATTAATCAAGCAGCTAGCTAGACTTTTTGTATCTATTTCGTTCGATACATATTCACTTTTAAGTTTATAGTTTATCCTAGCTTTATGTTTGACATTCTGGTTTGCACAACATATGTGCAAGATCGTTAAAATATTAAAGACAAAAATGAAAGTTTTACATCCAGTCAGAGACATACTTCACGAATGAATACGTGAAATGTTTAAGAGTATGCGTAGAATAGTGAACTGAACTTAACAGAACAAAGTGAACATTCAGATGTTCTAATTATCGATCTAATTTCAAATTAGCGACGAAATGAGCTAAGGCGATAAAATTTATGTTTACTCTGAAAAATGGGAGAATCTCACAAATATTCTTAGAGATTCATTCTCCAATAAATAAACGTGCGATGAAGGGTGGGCGGTTTAAAACATTATAGACATATGATAATTTTTTTTCTAAGTATAATTTGTAAGTAAATATTGGCATAAGTATAAGTCGAACACGATAACGTTTACATTAATCGGTCGAACCATTATGATATAATGGGTTGTTCAAGTTCTTAAATTATTACGTTTTGCATTTTTATTGCTATATAGAGAATATAGACACGTACATCCGAGTAGCGTTATGGTAAAAGAGTTCAGATTGTAAAGATCTCAGGTAATGAATAAGTTTTTTCGAGTTCAAATCTCTAATTGTCCACATTTTTTAAGTATGGTTTTACTTTGAGAATATTTTTAAATTGTGTCACGTAACTTTTCTTCATCTTTTTCATGATGTTTTTCACAATCTAAAGTTAAACTTTTGACGGCGAAGCAAAATTGATTCAGGATTCGAACCTGGGTCTCTACACTCATAGTGCGAAACCTCTATCAGTACGCTATTATGCTTAACGCAATAAAAATGAGTGATAAATTAGGTGGTAAAAGATTTAAGCGATAAATAGTACACTTTTATATAGTGTTGGGTATCGGACTCAAAAATCACTATCGATAATCGGACCACCCAAATCGATTGTCTGCCGATAGTATTATCGCATTTTTTATGGTCCTTTTTTCTTTTAAGGTACCAATCCTTGTATGTATTTTTTTATACCATAGTGACCATATTTTGTGAATAAACTCTTGTCTCCAAGATTAAAGTAAGATTAACTCTTTGAATTCAAAACAAACAACACAAATACCTAATACAACTTTGTGACAGGCAATTTTTGTATTAAACAATGTACAACTTTATGGCAGTCAATATTAGTACTAGTCAACAGGTCAAAATATTGTAGATCAGTAATTTAACTACAGTAGATATGTATATTATGTCATTATTATTATGTTATTTATAATATTATGTTATTACACACTATAATTTTCTAAAGTACATGTAGTATTAACAATATAGTATAAGCAATTCAGTGGTGGTAGAACACTGAAAATAATCGATTTTTAAAAAGGACTATCGATTGTGGCCGATTTTGGGTTGTTCCGATTAGTTATCGATTTTCAGAGACAATCGGAACAACACTACTTTTATATAAGAATTATCGACACCCCTATTTGTCAATATTGATGTAAACAGATAATGAAAGGAATAGCGAATTCGAGCTGTTATCGGGAAAGACGTTTTAATAAGACAAACGGGTCTCCAGATATCAAACAATGGATACTGGAAATAAAACATGTAAATGTATGGCTAATATTTTAAATCAGATGGACATGTAGATATTAAATGAATACTCAGAGTAAGCAAAAAGTGATTAAGCAAAAATCCTGGATAATCCTGTAACAGATGTTTCTGTCATCGGACAATTGAAGTTATAGTTTTATACATTTAAAATTACCTATTTAATTTGTTTCATATACGAAAATACTTTTTTATTTATCTAGAGAAAAAAGCTTACTGCTAATTCTAAACATTGTATCATGTTAAAATGTTACATACGAAAACTAATGTCCCTACCTGTTACTTATATTACTGTCATTATTGCTAAAGTCATTCTTTTTTATTGGATATGGTTTGAAAATATAATTCAAATACCCACAATTAGAAAATATCTTTTTGATCATATCATTGTATTTATGTGACCTGAATGCAATTAACGTATATGTTGTTGTTATTGTTGTGTTGTTTTCTTTCAGTTTATCCATTATATTATTACATAATCTGCCCTGGTCTATTAGTTTTCAACATGGAATGTATTGGCATTATAAGATAAAGATGTTTAACAAATGTTAGAAAGAATGTTGTCAAGGCGGCATTAAGAAAATCTGAGCCAAATCAACCCCCCCCCCCCCCGATTTGTTTAAAAGAAACTTATAATGAAATTGACTTTCATAAAGATATTAAACATGACATTTTTGCTGCTGTTTGCTTGTTTCAGGTTTTTCAAGAATTGCACCGATATGTTCAAATTACGAATAATGTATGTCACGTTGCAAACTAAATTAAGTTTAAAAGCTACCGTGTTTTTATTGTAAATTGTAGATGTGGCGATAAAATACAATCGAATGTATCTTTAAGGATCACGGCAAAACTAATGAAAAATATTTATAAAAAAAACGTTTAAATTTTGTAGAGTTCAGAATAAACGCGAAAATGGTTATTTACCAGTTTGTTTAATATTGTTAATTAATACACATGTCATAAAAAACATATACCTTTTGTAATAATGTTCTACGGCATTGAAGGCGATTTGTTTCTGTCCAGCATATGATACGAATAAAACACTGGACCGAATTAAAACTCAAGTGGGAATAGCACGGCGAAAATTTTATTTATGCAGCATAACAACGCATTGTTGTACGATTTGTAATGTATGGTTTCGTTTAAACGTAAACCGGCAATGAGTCAGCTGACATCAGAAATACGAAACATTGCACAGGGCGCTATTTAGAGTAGGAGTAAGAACTTTAGGTTCATTTGGCGCCGTCGTTATATATGTTGATTGTAAAGACTGTTTCAAAACAAACGTTACACACAGGTCGGTATTTTATGTGAATGAGTTTGTTAGATAGGTATATTTTTACTGTTTGAAATCATATTACCATTCAAGGCCCATGTGACCTTGACCTTTGAAATAATGACCCCAAAATCAATAAGGGTCATCTGCTAGTTATGACCAATCAATATGTGAAATATGAAGACTTTGTGATGAATTCTTTTCAAGATAATCAGCGGAAACTCTTCTGACATTTAAGGCCCCTGTGACCTTGACCTTTGACCTAGTGACATCAAAATCAAAAGGTGTCATGTACTAGTTATGATTAATCAATATGTGAAATATGAAGACTTTGTGATAAATTCTTTTCAAGATAATCAGCGGAAACCATTCTGACATTTAAGGCCCATGTGACCTTGAACTTTGACCTAGTGACCCTAAAATCAATAGGGGTCACCTACTAGTTATGATCAATTATTATGTTTAATATACTATTGTGTTTGAAAAGATAAATGCATCAGTGTATTATTTCCCATGATAAGTTATAATACGTATATTGAGCAAAATAATTGCTGCAGCTGTATGTCTGTCCCGTTCCAAAATGTTCATTAATACACTTGTTACTATATATAGTAACAGAATTGCCTATGATTTCAACTGATTATGAGTGTCACGTGACCTATTATGAGTTTGCGGTCCGGGGCCGAGAACTAGTTATCAGCCCGCAGAACATGTGCATGTGCACAAACTAAAACAATGACGTCATATTTTACGTCATCAAACAGTTAACTGTAAAAGTGAAAGTAGGTTGTCAGCTTAAGCGTCTTTAGTACAAACACATTTTTGTTACTATTGAAATTTGAAGAAATAATACGACAAATTCATTCCAAAAAAAAATGAAAATAAAATTTGTTTCTAGATTTGCCGTGAACACACAAACAGTAAACATCTCTGTACAGAACAGTAGAAGAATAGACAAGAATTTCAACGAAAGAACTTCAAAGTAGAATTCTATTTGTTGTTGTTGTTTGTTGTTTTTTTTTTATAAAAATGCTACTATCAGATCTACCAAGTGTATTAAAGACATTAATACACGTCAGAGTTGGGCCGGAAGGTGATAATCGGCCCTGAATGAATAATGGCCCTCGGGCTAAAGCCCTCGGGTCCATTATTCATTTTGCGGGCCGATTATCACCTACCGGCCCTCTCCTGCCGTGTATTAACCTCTTAGTCGTGTTGCTCCAAAAGTACTTTTGTTAGAGTAAAAAAACTTCAAAGGAATGTTGATCGGAATGTATAGTAGTGCATGTGGGTTTCGTATGTGGGTTAATTCACGACTTTAGAAGTTATTGCTCTTAATATACCGTCGTAAATAATTGAAATATTCAAGTGTCATAAGTGTGTGTGTGTGTGGGGGGGAGGCACCTGCATTCTTTGGACACATTTCTAGTTGGAAATTTGTTTGTGTTTATCAGTATCTTTGATTTTAACATTTTGAAAGATTTGTTGTATCATTTCACCGTGACTTTTTGAGAAAAGCTGATTAAAAGTTAAACTTGACTATTTGAAAAAAAGATAAAGCTGTTACATACAATGATCACATATGCTTGTTTTGTTTAGAATTGAGGCAATATGATTTTACTGCTCTCCATTTGCAACTCATTTACCTTTACATATAATACGTGTATAGGTTAATTTATCAAGTTCCATAACTCTGACATACAATTTCATTCAATAATGCAAATTTTCTTCTTTAGCTTTTTTCCAAACTTAGTCGCCACTTGATTATTGCGACAGCTCCAGTTTTAGTATTTGTCATCCTTTTATTTCTATGTTTATTACTACCCCTATGGTGTTAACGCCATTGACATTTAAGTATTGCAGTCAGTCTGTCAGGTCTTTGTTTTGTCCCCTGTAACCAGGATCCATATTTTACTTAAACGCTATTTGCATTAATGTAGCTTGATAACGTTTGATTCATAAAACAGTGTCAATGTTAGAAAGCTAAAAATCTACACATTAAATTCGACTATTTTCAATGCGGCCATTCCACGTGAATTTTTGGGAACGTTACACGCAGATTTTTTACCCGAATCGGGTATGGATTTTACTAATAACTTTACTGTTACTCAATCGATTTTTATCAGGTAAGAGACAGAGTACCCGTAATTATATCAGATATCCACGGTCAATCAAAATTCTGAAAAACCCTGAATGGTTTTTTTGAGAACATTCGAGTACAGTTTTTCTTTTCATAGCCGGGGCCGAGGGGAACGGTTCACACTCATTTGTCACAACAAGCGACTTGAAATAAGCCGTCTGCTTCGTAGAAAAAAAAATGTTAATTTCTTATAGATTTACTAAGTCCAATGTATCTAGTGAATGCAGTGATCATAAAGTTATGTTTAAATGGTACGGAACACACAGTT